TGTGTGTGTGTGTGTGTGTGTGTGTGTGTGTGTGTGTGTGTGTGTGTTGTGCCTCCGAGGTTTGAACCAGGTCAGACAGCAGATGTAGGCTCGAGTGATGAAGAAGATCTGGAATTGAGATTCGAGCCTGCATTACTGAGCGACGTTGAGCGGAGTCTGGGGGAGGAGGAGGAGTTGAATCTGAAAGATGAGCCTGATTTATTAGAAGTTTCAGAGGTGTCTTCCTCTTCTGGAACTCCCTCCCTGATTGCACCTCAGGTGTTAACTGTTAATCAGGAAAGTGTGCCAGAGGCATCAAGCAATGATGAAACTGCCGGATGCTGGCTTGATGCTAGGACTAGGAGAAGATTGAGACGTCAATCTCAATTAGAAAAGAGATGTCCAGCCAAGGATTAATTAAAGAGACTGACATGCCCCTCAGGGGATATATAAAAAGCGTGTTAATGCCTCTCCCCGCTTGAAGCAAAGTGGATTTTTGGTGCGAAAGAATTGCATATGGCTGCGGTGTTGTGATTTATGGACAGTTCAGACTTGCCAGACAGATTCCAGGAAGACTGCCAAGGACTGTGAAAACAAAAGCAGTTAACTCTTTTGGGTCTGGTTTTGTTTGCTTGAATATTTGAACTTTGGATTCTCACATGTGGATACAGGTGAGACAGAACACACACACACACACACACACACACACACACATATATGGATCTTTGGTTATTCAGGTTTTTTCCTACATAAAATTGGAAGTATCTAGGCAACATTTCAAAGAAGTCTCATTCATCATCTTCAGGCTTGTGTCTTCAGCTCTGTGCTTCTCAGAGTAATGTGAGTTTGCAGCTGCTTCGTCCTTTTAACTGCTAGTGGGGGTGTGATTTGATTGGGTGGGGGCTTGGCTGTGTTCTGATTGGGTGGGGGTGTGTTCTCATTGGTTGGGGGCCTGGCTGTGTTCTGATTCATTGGGAGGGTTGGCTGTGCTCTGATTGGCTGGAGGTATGTTCTGTTAAATATTTACTTTAAAAATACCAGAACTATCACCAAAACCAACCACTTCAACAACAGAATAATCAGAGAAGCCATAGAGATAGACAAATGCCCACACAGCATGAATAAATGAGATGACACCTCCTGTCTACCAGCCATTTGGAAACCCAACCTCATGAACAGACGAGTACCTAACATGAAGAATGACACCAAACCCACACACATGAGGGCCACACAAGATGCTACCACCACACTTCCACATAGAAAGCAGACTCACACCCGCACAGAAGATGAGACATGACCACGGACCAGAAGCCACACAGCAGCTGCATCACTACCTGCTTCAAACCACTCCAATCCATACATGAAGCGAACTGACCCCCACCATGAAGATGTGGCATGACCACGAACATGAAGCCAAACAGCAGGAACACAGCTCACCAGCTCAAATCCCCCAGCAACTAAGACTAACCTGAGCACAACCAAGCCCCCACCTGAACAGAACACACCCCCAGCCAATCAGAGCACAGCCAACCCCCCAGCCAATCAGAACACAGCCAGGCCCCCAACCAATGAACAAAAAGAAGAAGCACAAGACGGAAGAGGATCTTTTGGCTATGTATTTCAATTTTTAGAAATGGAGATTTTGAACTATGAAAAACAACAAGAAATGCTTGTAGAACAAAAAGGGCAGGACAAAGAAGAAGCCATCTTTAATGACCAAGCAGTTTTAAGTGGGGTAAAAAAGGGAAAAGGGGAAAAAGGGGTTAAAAACTTAAGACTTGAAGCAACAACCAAAAAAGAGTAATTTGAAAAGTAACTATAACATTAGGAAGAAGCAGAAGGGAGGATCACAGAAGGGAAAATCAGATAGAAAAGGGAACAAAAAGGGGAGGGAGAAGAAGAGGGGGAAGATGGAAAGGAAAAAGTTATAAAGGACAGAAACAAGATATAGAGAAGCAGGAAAAACATACAAGAATTAAAGGGATAAGCCTATTTAAAAGACACAGAGACAATGGTTAAAATTTAACTTAAAGAGAGGATTCTGCAAGGGTACATGAGATAGCATTGTTATATTAGAAATAGAAAAGAGTTAGAATATATGATAGATGATTAAAGTGAAAGATAATATTTGCATTGTTATGTTCTTTAAGTATCATTAAGGAGTGATGCCATTTTAAAAAAAAATTAAACAACCCCTAATTGATTTTATTTCATTAGGATCCACCATCCAAAATTCCAGGAATCACCCAATAATCCAAAGCTGTTTCTTGCCTCTTTTCTCAGTTTCTCTTTCCAGGGGCTATGTTATCTTGTAACAAAGTTTCAGCTACAATGTATCCTTTACAAGTCTTGTTAAAATTCCACTATCAATTCTTTTTACTCCTCCATTTTTCCAGATTCCACCCTCTTTTTCCCTGCTCTGCTTTCTTCCTTTTTGAGATTTTTTTAAATTATCCAAAAGTCTTTATCCCTTTGATACTTTATTTTCAGATAAAAATAGCCTATTCATGTCCAAGTGGATTTAATATCAATTTCTTATTTAGATCTCTTTTTCTTAACATTCAAAGTCAAGTAGAGCTGTCAATATGAGAAAAAAAAGCCAATTCTTTTTCCTTTTCCTTTCTCTTTCACCACTTTAAATATCTTTTTTAGGAATAGTATTAGTCTTTGTAATTCAAGTTCCAGGTACCTTAAATAGATGTTTTCTCCATTCAACCCAGTCAGTCAAACTTTCTCCTTTAAACTTCCTCCTGCACAATCTTGTCCAGTTGGGTTCTTTGAGGTGGCCATTTCTGACTGCTGCTACAATCACCTTTGGGAAGGGGAGTAATGGCCAGGCAAGGAGGAGAGAGGCGGCTCTCTGCAACCCACCAGTGGTCTGCCCCTTCTTCATTAGGGATTGGTCCTAGGGGGATCGGTAAAAGAGAGGGGAAACTTCAGAAGTGAAGTGGGGAAGTGCAATCTCCATCTGCGCTGAGAAGAAACCCTCGATTCCAGAGCTGAAGAGGTGAGTCTTGATGGCTGACCCAGAGACCTGATGTCCCACAAGAAAGAAGAATGGAGTGAAGAGGGTTGATGGTGTGGAGTAAGTGGTGAGAGCAAAGAAATTAGATTGTCATTTAGCCCAGAGGATTGACAGCAAAAGTGAAAGCTCCGAATGGCACATGAACAATAAGAGCAAAGAGAAGAGCAGAGAAGGAAGAGGGCGGAACATGGAGCCAGTGATGGTGAAGGAGAGGAAATGAAGAAGTGAAAATGAGTAAAATTGAAAGTAACTGAAAGTAAGCTGCATGAAGAAAAGAGAGTGGAGTGATTAGAACAGAGCTGCTGAACTTTTTGATCTTCCTAAGCAACGAGTATTGCAACAATAGATGAAACAAAGAAACAGGATGAAGGACTAAGGATTAAGGATAGGAGAGTGACAGGACAGACATTTTGAAAACGAAAAAGGCAGCTGTTAACTCTTTCAGCTCTCAGTATAGTAAGATTTAAATAACTTGGTTGGAACTCTTTAAAATCTTTAAAATGTATTTCAAAAGAAACTTCATATGTCAATTCATTTGTGTCTAAAAGCTAATTCTTGATATTGAGTGCAATATTTAATTTATATTTAAAATTACATTGATAATTTTTTTTCTTCTACAGCTATATTTCTAGTGATAAATATATTTAATTTATATAATTACATATCAATGAAAACTTTAAAAAAGATATATACTTATAGTACCATTGATTGTTATTTATTGTGAACTAAAGACATAATTATACCTAATTTATAAGAAGTGTATTGACTGAAAAATAGAGAAAGCTATATATTTATTCATTATACTGATTGTTCCTTTATCTTATTAATTCTCTATTGATACTAAAAATTTATTTAAATTTAAAACTATAGTTTAATATATTTATGTTTAGAGTGGAATAAATTAAGAAATTAATTTTATAAATAAAACTATTAGTTAATTAACTATTTAACCCATTAATTAACTAACAGACAGTGTGTATATATGAGTTTACAGTGTTAAAATAATTGTTACTGATATTGGAATTGATTTTGAATTGATTGGTTTAATTAACATTTGGAACATCTAGAATATAATACAATATATACAATTGTAGATTACACTGTAGCATAGAATTTAAGGAAAGAAAATTAGAATAACATTGAATGGTAGTTTGGGAAAAGATAGAAAGAATATTAGGAGAGCAATACAGAATATTACAGGAAATGACAAGCATCACGACTACTATGGTGAAAGCTGGGAAGAAAGCCACTCCAATGTCAAATGCAGTGATAACATCCCAGGCCAATCAAAGATTAACAGAAGGAATGTTTGCAACAGAAAAACTCCACAATGAACATGCAGGCCACACTATTATCAATACAAGAAATTATGATGAAGCTACAAGAGAACATGATTAAAAACCATGGAGAGATGAAAGCAGAAATGGAGGAGGCTATGAGAGAAGTGAAGAATGATATCCAGAAGCTAGATGAGGAAGTAGATCTAATCCAAGAAGCATTACAAATGAATGATCAACAAATACAAATGATTGAGAAAAGGATGGAAAAAGAACAGAAGAAAAATTAGATCTGGTAAATCGGAGAATAAAAGAATGAAATAAGGAAGTCAAAGACTCATTGATCCAGTTGGAAATGGACAGAGCCTCATTCTATCTGAGGTTCCAAAATATGGTAGAGATGAAGGAGGGAAACCTAGCAATAATAATGGTGGAAATAATAGTGGAGGCACTCCAGGGAGACAAAGGAAAAATAATAAACAAGTTGGACAAGGTTTATAGAGTTTATACAAATTAGGCCAGATGATTTAGATTGACAAAGGAAGTTCATGTGTGCTTTGCCAGAAAAAAGTGAGAGACATCATATATAAAATAACCAGGGATGAGCCAATGACTTACAAAGGTAGGGAAATCATCACATAAAAGAGATTCTGCAAAGAATATGTGAACAAAGGAAAGATTATCATTTCTTAGTGGTCTTACTCAGTAAAAGTAACATATTATTTAGATGGATAAATAACAGGGGGAATGTTGGTGTCGTGGGAGGGGAAAATAATCAAAATAGATACCCTGGATAAAGCACAAGACCTCCATGACCAACTGATAGGCCCAGAAGAAACAGGCAGCAGTAGGGAAGAGCTGAAGTTGACAAGCCAAGAAGACCAACAACAGGGGAAAAAAGGACAAAGGACAGGAAGAAGAGAAAAAGAGAGAAGAAGAACTACAAGAAGAGGGAAGAGTGAGAACAAGAGCTCAAAGAGACACAAGGAACAACAGGAAACAGTGAGTGGCATAGAAGCAGGAGAATGAAAAATAAATTGAAAATATTATCTTTAAAGAGAATACAAAAGATCATATATTTCTATGGAATTTGTGGGATACAATGAAAGCTTATATAAGAGGATTAATGACAGCATATAATGCTAAAAAGAAAAAGAAAATGATGCATTACGGAATGAGATTAAAAATTTGGAAATACAATTACAAATTAAACCTGGAAATGAGCAGTTTATAGGTAAACGTATACTAGCCAAATATGAATTAAATGTATTAGAACAGGAAAAGAATTTAAGAGCCTTGAAATCTGCAAAACAAAACTATCTTGAAAATGCGAATAAGTCGAGGAGGTGGCTTGCTTATAGATTAAGAAAGAAAAGAAAAAAAAAGAAAGATTCAGCAATTAAAGGATAATGAGGAGAACTTACAATATAATATGGAAAAGAAAAAAAAGTACAAGAATTTTTCAAGGATCTTTACAAACAAGTGAAAATTAGGGATGAGAAACTAAATCACTATTTAGAAGGAGAGATTACGCCAGCTCTAACAGAAGAAGAAAGGGCAATGTTAAATGAGGACATTACTAAAGAGGAATTAAAAGAGGCAATCTAATAGCAAAATAATAATAAAACCCCAGGAACAGATGGTTTACCAGGAGAAGTTTATAAAAGTTTAGAAGTACTTGATCTGATAGTTTTGGAAATTTATAATGAGGTATAACAGAGGCAAAGTTACTAGTATTGTAGAGAGAAGCGTATATTGCACTGGTACGGAATGAAAGCACAGATACCACATAAATAAGAAATTATAGACCAATCTCTTTATTAAACGCCTACTATAAAATATTTATGAATATAATGGCTGAAAGAATGAAAAAAGTAATGAATAATAAAATACATCCAGACCAAAATGATGTTTTATCAATAAGACAAATAAAAAATAATACAAGGACAGTAATAGATCTTCTGGAGTATTATGAGATGCACCTAGTAAAACATTTTTGTTTTTGTTTTTCTTGATGCCCAAAAGGCTTTCAATAAAGTGAATTGGCAATTTATGATTCAGCAGATAAAAGAAATGAAATTTGGAGACAGATTTGAAAAAATGATAGGGTCAATATATTCGATTCAGAAAGCTCGTCAAATAATTAATGGAGAACTTACAAACTCATTTGAAATAAGGAAAGGAGTTTGGCAGGGATGTCCACCTCTGCTCTTTACCATGACATTAGAAATTTTGTTGAGAAGAATCAGATTGAATTGGGAAATAAAAGGGTTAAAAATTAAGCAAGAAGAATATGTGGCCCAAGCATTTGCAGATGATCTTGTATTTTTTGCAGAAGAACTGATAGAATCAGAATGAAAATTAATAAAAGAGCAAGAGAAATTTGGGGAAGTGGCTGCCCTAACAATCAACAAAGATAAAGCAAAAGTGATAACAAAAAAACTAACAGATAACAACAACAAAAAGAAATTAGTGGAAATAACTGGTTTACAAATTGTAAAAAAAAGTCAAATATGTGGGCATCTGGCTCATAGCAAGATGTTCAACAATAAAAGAAGATAACTATATAAAATTAGCACAGCAAATGAAGAAAGATCTAGAAAAATGGGAGAAAATACAGCTATCAATGCTAGGGAGAATTGCAGCCATCAAAATGAATATTTTACTGAGACTACTTTTCCTCTTCCAAATGATCCCTGTAAAATTGGATAATTGTTTTTTACAGATTTCAATAAAATGATCATGAAATTTGTTTGGGTAAGCAAAAGCACAAGGGTAAAATTCAGTGCACTACAGAATAATAGAAGCAGAGGTAGATTTGGACTCCCCACTTGGGAAATATACTATAAAGTAGCAGATTTAATGTGGATTAAAGAGTGGGTCAATTTAAGAAATAAAGAACTTTAATTTTAGAAGGGCATGACTTTCAGACAGGGTGGCATGGCTTCATGTGGAACCCAGGAAATAAGACTCATATTCATTTCCATCAAAATGCAATACAAGATTAATTAATGCAAATATGGCAAGATATTAAGAATAAACATTATATAAAAATTCGTTGATACACCCTAATGTACTAGAAATTAGAAAAATGGTTAAATACTATGAAGTTTAAGACCCCCCAAGGAATATTAAAAACAAACCAAGAACTTAGGGAGCAAGGTCTGAATATAGATTGGTAGTGATACCTCCAGTTAAAAACAAAGTATAAAAATGATGTGGAAGAATATGGAATAGAAATAAAATCAAGTCAACTAGATAAACTCCTAGAGGGTACAGGTGAAAAAATAATTTCAAAAATGCATAAGTTTGAAATGGCAGAGGAATTAGTTAAGGGCCCAATGATAGCATGGGCAAGAAATGTAGGACATAACATTAATTTGGAAGATTGGGAAAGAATTTGGGGGAAAAATTACAAAATAATGAAATCAATGGTATATAAAATGTGCTATCAATGGTATCTGCCCCCTTCAAGATTAGCTAATATGTATCCCAACTTAAGCCCACTTTGCTGGAAATGCAAACAAACAAGGGGCACCTTCTTCCACACATGGTGGCTTTACCCAAAAAGTAACAAATATTGGATAAAAATACAAACATGGATAAAATAAATTATGACCATTCAATTAGAATTTAAAGCAAGATCTTTTTACTGGGAATAATAAAAGGTGAATGTGCAAAAGAAATAAAATATTTAATTTTACATATAATTACTGCAGCAAGACTAGCACTCAAACAGTGCTGGAAAGGAGATATTATGCCAGCAGAACATTTAATAATCCAAGAATAATCCAATTGTGCTAAAATGGACAAACTTACCCTAAAATTAAAAGAAAAGGAAGACTCAAAGTATTATACAGTCTGGGAAAATTGGTATAATTGGAGAAATAATAGAAACCAGTGAGTAAATAAATAAGGAAGGAAGAATATAAAGAGGTTAATGTAGGAATAACAACCAGATATATGAAATAAGTATCAGAATATTTTTTTTATATATAACCACCATCTAATTGATTTGTAATGTATATATTTTTTTGTTTTTAACAAAATGTTTTGTATCATGTATTTTCTATTTATCTTTTTAATGTTTAATAAAGATTTTGTAAAAAAAAGAAAGAAAGAAGAATGGAATGGAATGGAATAGAATAGAATAGAATAGAATAGAATAGAATAGAATAGAATAGAATAGAATAGAATAGAATAGAATAGAATAGAATTTGTACCTTCATTTATAGATAAAATGGTTTTATTTTTGTCTTGTGACTCCTGCCTTCCTGCCTCAAGAGAGCCTTACATATTTTGAAAGTGTTCACATTTGTGACTGTCTCACTATCATTATCAAATTAGCCAGTTTCTCTCCTCCAGATCCTAGGGGATTCCATGGAAAAAGGAGGAACAGACTCTGAAGGATGCTATTTATTGTCCCCGTGATATTCCATCCCATAGCTCAGAGCCCCAGAACTCTGTGAATTGATTTGTTAGTATGTTACACTCACTATCTGTGTCTGAAAAATATCTCAAGAAGAAAGATCAGACTGATCTACTTCAAAGATCTTCTTCATACAGAGGCATTTGTTCACAGAAAGAAGACACTCATGGAAGATGTTCATATTCATGGAGTTGCTGTTAATAGTTTTGCCTGAAGTGGTGTGCAAGAATCCTATCATTCAATGTGACTTTCAGGAGCCTCTTCCTATTCAGCACACCTATCATCAGTTTGGAGACATCAACATTGCTGGCATTATTTCTGCATTGTTTACATTTTCTAATCCCATTGATTTCAGCCAACATCCTTCTCGGGTACTTCTGGATGCAACTGTGTAAGTACATCATCAATTTGTTGTCAAATTCTGTGCCCATGTAAAATTGAAAGAGATTATAACAAACCATATCTAAATATCTGTAACTATATATGTCTAATATCTATAGTTTAGTTTAGTTTACTTCATTGTCATTGCACCTCATACAATGAAATCAAGCACCATCTTCAGTGCACATCATGACCCTGAAAATAAACACGAACACACATCCTTCACATCCACAGATTGAATTGAAAACCCTAGACACTGCACCAATACTGCAGTGTAGTAGAATTCAGTAGAGCTACTGCCCTGGGATAGAAGATGTTTTTCATCCTATTTGTCCTTGTTTTTATTATTATGTACCATTTGCCAGATGGTAATAGTACAAAAAAAAGGCTGCCCAGCATGAGATGGATCTTTGAGAATGTTTTGAACTTTCTTAGGGTAGCGGGATCTATAAAGCTTTTCCAAAGAGGGAAGAGGGCAACCAATGATCTTCTGGGTAATGACCTTAATCCTCTGGAGTGCTGTCCTATCTGCCCCTGTGCAATTGGCAAACCATACAGAGGTGCAGTAAATTAAGATACTCTTTATGGTGAAGCAATAGAAGGTCACCAATAGTTTTTCATTCAGTTGTTGTTTTCTGAGAAGTCTCAGGTAGTATAATCTCTGCTGGGCCCTTTTGACCAGTGCCGCAATGTGAGCACCCCAGGTCAGGCCCTCTTTTATGATAACATCCAGAAACTAATATTTGAAGGGAGGGCATATTTCCCTTGCATTACTAGAGGGACAAGAGCAGTAAAATGTACATCCTAATCCCGCTAGATAGGGCTTTAGTGAAATCCCATTTGGAATGCTATATCCAGTTCTGGAGACTTCATTTTAAAAAACAGATATTGATAAGATTGAGTGAGTCCAGAAATGAGCAACAAAAATGGAGCATTGTCTGTTTGGAGGATCTGATTAAGTAAAACCTGAAGGAGAGAAAGAAAATGGGGAAAAGGATGGAACCATTTAAATAGATTAAGGGTGTAAATAAGGTATAGAGGGCAGTCATTTCAATAGTAAGCAAAAATCAAAAATATAGGGACATAACCTCAAACTGACTGGAGGGAAGTTCAAAAATCATATCAGAAAGTATTACTTCACAGAAAGTCTACTGGAAGCTTGGAACCAACTTCCAATCAAAGGTAACGGGTCAATCATCAGTAACTGAGCTTGAACATGCTTGGGCTAAACACATGTCCATCATCTGACAAAAATTGAAACAAAACAAAAATAACGAATAAATTAACAAAAAAACGAATAACTCAGAGGATGATTCAAAATACCACTAACTCTTTTTCTGCCATCAGATTTCAATGTTTCTAGATGTTGTACTGACATATTCAGATAACAGATAATCAGAGTTCCATGAAATCAGGGGTGTGATTCAAATTTGTTAACAACCGGTTCTGTGGGTGTGGCTTGTGTGGTGGATGTGGCTTGGTGGTCATGTGACTGGGTGGATGTGGCTTGGTGGTCATGTTATTGGCTGGGTGTGGCCAACTCAATATCACTCACATCGATGCATGCCTCTCATGACTGGGGATGCTGCAATAGTCGTAAGTGTGAAAAACAGTCATAAGTCACTTTTTCAGTGCCATTGTAACTTTGAATGGTCACTCCACACAAGCAAAATACCAGCAAAGGAGGAAAAAAACTCCAGAGAAGTTCCTGAGACTGGAAGTCTATTCCTGCCAAGAATGTAATAAGGATTAATGGAGAGGCAGTTTCTGTAAGCAACACCAGAATGTTTCCTTCCTGCCTTCCTCACAGGATTAGGCCAGTCATTTCTATTAACAATTGGTTCTCTGAACTGCTTAGAATGTTAACAACTGATTCTAGCGAATAGGTGTGAACCAGTAGAATCCCACCCCTGTATGAAATGTGTTCTGCTAAAGGATTGCAGGTGCCATGATAAGAAGCAGACATTTCTTAAAGTATTCTTTTTTCTTTACAGCATATTTTTTTCAGAATTCCCAACATGTCCTTGCCTTAGCGTTTGCTCTAAAAGAGATCAATGAAAATCACCAGATCCTACCCAGTATCACACTGGGCTTCCATATTTTAAACAGACAGTTCAGTCCAAGTTGGACTTACTTCATTTCAAGGGTGCTGCCTTTCACTCATGGCAAGTTCACCCCTAACTACAAATGTGGGATCCAAAAACTTTTGACTGCAGTGATTGGGGGACCTGATATTTCTCTTCACATGGTAGCTGTATTGTGAACCTACAAACTTCCTCAGTTCCTCAACTTGTGCAGAAGATATTCATTATTATATTGCCATACTTCCCCAGAAGTCTGTGTGTTTTTTTCTCTTTAAAAAAAGGAGACAACTTTCAGGTTCCAGGATATTATTTTTTGCTTGATAAGGTTACCATAGCAGCATGAGTACTCATAACTTTGAAACAGACAGTGGGGATATTGGGCATAGAAAAACATTCCCCAATGTGGGCACAAAATTAATAGCTGGGAGGTACCTTGGAAGTCTTCTAGTCTAACCACTGCTAAAACAGGTAACCCTATACCATTTCATATCAATGGTTGCCCAATCTCTTCTTAAAAACTTCCAGTGATGGAGCACGGAGAACATCTGCAGTCAAGCAGTTTGTCTGATTCATTGTTCTAACTTGGTTTTTTCGTTGAATAGAATAGAATGGAATGGAATGGAATGGAATGGAATGGAATGGAATGGAATGAAATAGAATAGAATAGAATAGAATAGAATAGAATAGAATAGAATAGAATAGAATAGAATAGAATAGAATA